ACTCAGAGAGAAACAATGAAACAATATATTGTATGATACCATTTTTGGAATAATCGTGTATGTACTTCCATACACGTGTATGTAGTTCACTTCCTTTGATTTCTGCATCTTGGTATATGGTATTCTTTCTGCCTACATTTTCCTGAGCTCCTAAGCTCCCCTCCAAATTCCATCACTTCTTTTTGTTACTACAATTTTTGGGCCTCACAATATATACCACATCTCTTTGGGTCAGACAATCCTTACTCTTCTTTCATTAGCTGTCCTGGTTTGTATCTTAGGACTTAGTTTTCACTTTTTCCTTGAGTAAATGTATTTATTGAGAGCTTCGTATGAGGCAGACACTGATCTAGGCTTTGGGATACACTGGTCCACACACTGACAAAGTAGCTCTAATCTTGGAACTCAGAGGAAGGTGGGAAAAGTAAACACTTTTTTTTTTTAAAGAGATGGGATCTTGCTCTTGCTCAGGCTGGTCTCGAACTCCTGACCTCGAGCAATCCTCCCTCCTCTCAGAGTGCTAGGATTACAGATGTGAGGCACTGCACCCAGCCTAGTAAGCACTTGTTAATTTCAGTTGTCATAAATAGTAGAAAAGAAAGAAAGCTCTTTCTACCACAGAGAGCACCATGAAGGAGTCACCAAGGTCACTGTGGTCTAAGTGAGCATTTCCTGAGGACAAGATATCAATGTTGGGATTTAAAGGAAGAGTAGGGTTGTCTATGTAAGAGTTCTCCAGATGAAAGTAACATGGTTTGTGAAAATCCTGCAGTGGAAAGGAGCACGGTGTTGGCCAAAGAAACTTGAACAGATTAGTGAGCAAAGGGAAGAGGTGTGAAAGACACGGGAGCAGTGGACAGTGACCCAACTGCTGTACCCCCTGTGCTTTTGTGGACCCTACACCTCTCTGTTCCTCCCCCAGACAACTCAGCACAGAAAACATTCTGCACTCAGAGACAACGTCAGGTTCATCAATATCCCTGTGGAAGCAAAAGCTTAACATGTTGTGAATTCTCAATATATACCTTTGATTAAGTTGCTAATTATTGATGCTATTTTAAAGTACAAGATCAGATAAGATTTCTGTATTTTTAGTAGAAGAAATTGAAGCAAAGGAGACCTGGAAGAGTGTACCTCAGTTGAGGAATTGCTGGATGCAGCTGATGAGGTCTGGGGAGGTGGGGGATGGCCCACGGCTGTGGACGCGCCGGCTCCTGCAGGAGAGGGCGGCTGAGTCTGCTCCTCCGAAACCTTACTCCTTTCACTCCCACTTTTTCCTTTGGTTGTGCTTTTTCTTTTCTGAAAATAGTTTGATTTTCCTGTTATTCCCTTTTAGTGTCAAATAAAGCAGAGCATCCTTTCATTCTGGGAAGTAGGCTTGTTATACCTATCAACGTGTTTCATGGAAACTTGACGGGGTTCTGTCCATCCCTGGCCAGTTGTAAGAGGTGGACATATATGGTTTCTTTAAACAAAGGAAGCAGGGAAAGATATACGAATCATTTCATTTCTCTAATTACCTCTGTTGAGGGAAGTGCTGACTTGGAAATAGGAAAGCTGGGGTTTTATAAACATGAGCAAATCATTTTCCTATCTGATTCTCAAATTACTACACCTCTATACCGGGGACAATGATATATTTAGTTTGTATATATTTACATTATAGTCACTACAGTTTTTAGCTGATTACCTTGTACAAAGAACAAGATCAATTACTAGATAACTTGCTGAATCTTAAACTTGGTGGGAAACTCTGATGACACAACTCTCCACTATAGAGATTGAGGGGAAGAGCCTGGCAGAGTTTCCTCTGTGGGATTTGAAACCCATTGCTCTTTCTCAATCTTACCTGAGGTCCAGGAGTCACCTCTGCTCCTTCAGATGTGAGACCCTTCCTTGTGGACGGGGCAGGTGTAGCAGGGCCCTCTTCTTTCTGCTTGCTCTTTTTTGAGAGGGTTGTTCCTTTTGCCGGTGTAGATTTGATTTTATTCACAACTAATGCAGAAAAAGGAAACATATAAACCCAGAGCTGATGGTCTCAGAGAGCTGAAGCAGTTTCCATCCTAATTCCTCTCGGCGCCTGCTGAGTGCTCAGCTGTGCTCCACCGCATTAGCCCAGCCCGGCCTCAAGGTGACTGACAGTCTCAACACAGGTCCCAGCACTGTCTCGGTTCCTCAGTGTTTCTCATATGCCTTCCCCGTGCACTGAGCACATCCTTCCTGTCCTCTGAACTGTGAGTGATCACTCCAGATCTTTCCCCATCCTGTTTTCCTATCATTTCCTTTTAAAACTCAAGGGTGCTCCTGATGTTGACTGCTTGGTCATGCTCTCCAGGTAATCTATTCAAATCACAAAACCAGTGGATGGAAATGTGATATAGGTTTGAGAGGTGAGATATGGAGATTTTGGACTTTGAGTTTTATATATGTATAAACATATACACCCACATATATTTTTAACTCAGTCATTTTATGACAGGGAAGAACTTCACGTTTGTTGCAGGTAGGCTTACGTTTAACTGCTGCCTCTTTTTTATGATGTGGGTTAATGATGAATTAAATAGTCTCAATAGGACAGATACATTAACATGGTTACATGTACATATTTCAGATATAAACGACACATTTTATTTTATTTTTTAATATATATATTTATTTCAGAATATTACGGGGGTAAAAATGTTTTGGTTACGTAAGTTGCTTTTGTACCGTTTGAGTCAAAGTTCTAAGTGTGTTCATCACCCATATAGTGTGCATTGTGCCTGTTATAAACAACAAATTTAAAAGTATTATTTTATCATTTTCTAACCTTACTAATGTACCACAAGTCTCAGTCTCTCATCAACTCCCTCGCATTCTAGTTCTTTCACTGCATCCCAAATATCCCCTCCAAAATACAACATTCTGCATTAGAATTGGAATGCTCTAAGTTGTTAACTTGTTGGCACGTGAAGTACAAACACTGCCAAGGCCACTGAGTCACAACTTGTGACAGGGATGTATCAACTATGTCCAAGGGCAGGTTCTAGTCAAGGTTGAGAAGGGTAGGGGACAGTGGCACAGAGGGAATGTTCCCTGTTCCCCGTTACCTTTTGACTTTTCATTATTAAGAGTTTTTGCAATGGGTTGCAGTGCTGGTATATCTTTGCAGAGTTGCATAAGTTTGTCCACACCGGCGTCACGTGGGAACTTGTCAACCATCAAGTTAGCAATCTGAACTTTGTCATATTTTTCTTGCATTTTGTTACTCAGGTTTAACGTACTGGCCAGTAAGAACTTCACCATTTTAAACTGATAATCACTGGTGTCCTCTAATACTTTAAGTAGAACAATTTTATAGCATTCATCTGTCATGTCTAAAGACATTGGTGAGCCTACAAGAGAAAAATGACATACAATGTCGCACACCTATACAGACAATTTAAACGACTGCTTATGCCTACTTGAGTGAGGAGCCCATATGAACGTGTTTTCCACGGATGTGTGTGACAAAGAGGGACTTAATGACCAGATATGCCACTGTGGACATTGGGTCGAGAACTGCTGCATTAGGAATGCCTATGAAATTCATCCTGTTTAATAAGGATAGTTGAGCTGTGTCCAGGTGGGTGTGGTAGAAGGAGGTGTGGAAACAGGCAATTGTTACAGTGCTTAGAGCATGGGCTGTGCAGTGCCAGAGTTTGTGGTTCCCCATCCCATCCTTCACTGGGTCTGGACCCCATCACTCAATGCCTGCCTGTTGATTTCTGACTCTTCTCACTCCCACTGTGACTAAGCTGGTTGTAGTGTAAATGGTCTGAAGCCTCCTACTTTATACAAATACCCTTCTGAGTATCCTAGCTGGAGTCCCAATCTGAGTCCCCTTGTCTCTTCCTTAGTCGGCTCTCATTAGCATCCTGTCTGCCTTGGTGTTGACCATGTCCTCGGTGCCCTTAATACTATGACTTTGCATCTTCGTGCTCTCTCCTGCAATGTCACACAGCATTTATTAGTTGAAATAATTTCATTAACTGCCTGATTGGATTTTTTTTAAGGCTTGATTTAACTCATGAATTCTTTCCCGGAGCCAGTTTTCTCTCCATAAGTCACGTTTTTATCCCACTACCCCACTGAAATCCTTTAATATTTCCCCATTTTTATTTCAAAAATTTCTTACTTTGAAAATGTCTCAGAAGACCTTGAATATCTGCATCTTTTCTACTTCCGATACTTTTGTATTCCTTATATCCTATGTTTCGGAAATATATAGCACACTTTTTATTTTCATGCTTCATGACATGGCTAATTCCTTTCTCACTGTCTGGAAAGCGATTCCTACATTTCTTTCTCTGACAACCTCCCGTACAACCTTTCGGTCTCACCAGAGTCCTTGTCTTCTGCAAGCTTCACCCAGAGTCCTAACATAAACCAGGTCCCACATGGACTCATCTGGACATATTTAGTACTGTGCACTTCCTTGTTGATGCACAGTGTATGGTATAAATTCCAATTATCTTTTTAAGTTAATGAACATTTTTAGAGTAAGAACCATGTCTTTGCATGTTTTGTATAATTGGGATATTTTAATTCCTGGCGCTGTTATTTGCTTCCTTCTTGAGAGAACATGAGCATCCTCAGATTGAAAAGGCTCACAGTCTGAAGAGATGATCCATACAAAGACACATTATAGTTAAACTGAAGAATATGACTACTCTGGAAGCCTTCAGAAATGAAGAATAGATCACTCACAGAGATTCAATAATCAGAATGAAACTGATTGTCAAAAATGAAACTGCCCATAGCAAGACAATGGGGTAATTTTTATATAATTCTGTCACCAAATCCCTTATCTATAGCAAAATAAAAAAAATTAAAAATGGAAAGTTTTGATTTTTTTGTGGACATGAAAGCATAATTTATTTGCAAAATAAAACCAAATGTGAGGTGACAGGAGGCTATGTATAATCTCAGTTTATTCCACTTAAATGTAAGTGTTCAAAGGTTTTGTTGTGAAATATTAATGCTTTTGATTTTGGAATAATGACTTAGATCCCACTGGAGTTTCTAGTGATGCAGTATTTAGAATACATGTATTAATAGCCTTTCTGAAGCCTCCAACTTCTGAGTTTCAAAAAATGTCTAATCCCTCAGGTATAGAAAAGGTGTTCTCCACTTGTTTGAGGAAAAAGTAATTTTGAAACTAGAATTTTAATCTAGACAAAGTGACATTCAAACATAAGAGTCTCAATAACTCTTTTCGGATGCTGAAGTTGTCAGTATTTTGCAAGGCAAAGACTTACACAAACACATCTATTGGAAGTAATATTCAACAAGAAAAAATAAATAACATTTTAAAATACTACTGAGCAAAAGATAAATAAGTGTGAAAAATGAACCTGATTATGCGTGTCTATGTCTTAAAAAGAAAAGCCTGAGGCAAGAGGAGAGAAACACAAAGTATACTAACATGGTGGAAGGAGAAGGAAGAATATGACAACTTACTAATGAATTTGTCTTTAGAGGGTGAGACTGAGGTACAAGTTAAAAAAATCAAGACAATGAGGAGTTTATAGAAGTATCATAAATTGAATATAGCAGTATACACTTAAAAGACCTAACCAGTGAAGTGACAACTTTCATCAAATTTGATTTAAGAGATTGACATATATGTTAACAAAAGATCACTTAAAGTTGAAAAAATTTAAAAAATTATCTTGAAAAGAC